ACAGCGCTGTCCCCTGGGAGGACAGTGCTTGCAGCGAGGTGCCTGGGAGCTGGGTCACGCTGTCGCGTGCAGCCGTAGCCGTGCTCTGCCTGCGGCGTCAGAAGGAGCTGAGCCAGGATGGGGGTGCAGGGCAGAGGGGGCACTGGGGGTGGCAGCTAGGCATCAGCTCTGTGGTGGTGTAGAAGTTAGTTGAAACTTAGCGCTAGCATGCGTAATTTCTGTAACAGTGGCATCCCCTGCAGCAGGAGCAGTCGCCTCTCTGTCTCCGCAGGGCTCCCCTGCGCTGTGGGGCAGGTGACCCCCAGCTGGGCTGGAGCCTGCTGGGGTAGAGCTGTCCCAGAGGGGTTCCAGCCTCTGCCATGGCCCAGGGGACGTGGGGTGGGGGCACGTCCTGCTGGGCTCTCTGCAGCAACGCTTGCGCTTCCAAGCAACCCGTGCCCCAGTAGTGCTGGGGTACGTTGTGGTGGCCCGAGGGCAGGCAGGCAGTGCACAAGGAAGGAATCCCCTTCCCTGTGGCCAGGGCCGGCTGTGGCCATGCACCCCAGGAGGCAGCGGAGCGAGCCCAGGCCCATGGCCGTTGGTGGTGGGGACGTCCTGGCCATGCAGCTCTCTGCGGCTGGACACCAGGCTTCTGCTCCGCCAGGCTGAGCGCAGCCGGGGTCGCTGTGCTGGCTGCCGGGTCGCTATGCTCCCTCCTCTGGATGTGTCGTGGGGCCTGCAGAATGGAGAGCAGCCGCTGGCTGCCTCCCCGCTGCGGGGGGTGGGGAGGGGTGTCCTGACCCGCTGGCGTGGGGACACTTGTGCCCGCAGGGCTCCGTGCTCTCCCCGCGGCCGGGCAGCTGCAGGGTTACGCCTTCCTGGCGTCCATCGGACACATCCCTTGGACGCGCTCATACTTCCTGAGCAGTTTTGGCCGTATCCGCTGCGCTGCAGCTCTGCACCGACGCTCTGCATCTTCAGAGGAGCAGGACACAGAAACCTTTCAGCGCTGTTACTGCGTTTATCTGCGCGAGTCCTGGGTGTTTGATCCGTCCTCGCTTGCTAACGCGTAGCCCTTGACTGCTGACAGCAACCCCTCCTGGTCCTGGCCGTGCTGCCTGGTGCCTCCGTGGGCAGCCCTGGGGCACGTGGGCCCTGCCCCTCTCCAGGCTGCTGGG